TACCTGAACACACGTGGCTGCTGCCAGCCAGCCTGGAAGAGCAGCCGGGCCCCACTGTACGTCATCTTACCTGGCCAGGAAAAACTGGGCCAGACAAAAAGAACCAGGAACATATTTTTTGCTGCTGGTCACCACCATGATATTATTCTCTTTAATCAAGTTCAGAGTAGTTCACAATAGCATAGCTTATATTAAAACATTGCATAATATAAAAGAACCTTTTTAACCTCAAAGACTCCTAAAAGGCACCTACAGAGCACTCAGAGCACAGCCACACCGCACCTCTCAAACCAGGGAGGGGATGCGTTTTCTTACCGTTTGGAGAAAAAAAAAACCAAACAAAACCCAGACCGAGATTCACTGAGGATTTATGCACCTTCTTCCTACCTGCAGATAAAAAACTGTCTGAATTAATGCCTGGCTGAACTCCAGAAACCTGTGATGTCGCCAATATTTTCATGGTCCTTTTTATTAGAAGCAGATTTCCACAGAGAATTAATGAAATACAAAAAAAAAAGATAATTAAAATGTAAATTAACAGTTCCCCCAAACCAGCATGTTGCAGCCTCCAGAACAAAACTAACACAAAGAGCATGGATTGTGATCCTCATCGATCCGGCAGCACCCCCGTGTTCCTCTCGGGGAACACCGTTCCGCTTTCCTTTACAATTAAAGCCATCCATTAAGTACTGGGGTCACCACTCTTCTCATTCGACAAACCTGGCGATGCTACCTCACACTCACCAAGTTACAAACTACAGTCACACCCCCTGAGATTTCACTGCGCTACGTCCCCCGGCAGAGTCCAGCTGGGGCAAGAGCCGTGAGGAAAACACAAAGGCTACGGTCCTCTGAGAACGTCCTCGAGAAACGGCGTTCATCTCACACGAGAGCAAAGCCCGAGAGGGTCGATCTCTTCCGGGCAACCTGTCCGGACGGGTCTCAAAGTGCATCCCCCGATGGCCGCGCCTGCTGAAACACAACGGGTTCCTCCGCCAGCCCTTGAACAGCAGCTGCGTCGGGAAGGGATCTGTAAGGTGCCCCAGAAAGGAGCCTTACCGACAGCTAGTCCGGGGCGACACGGGAAACGACACGGGGCCTTCAGTCTTTAGCGTCTCCCACGCCATCAGCGTTAATGGCAAACATCGCTTCAGCCTCGGGAAGGCAAGGCGAGTCGTAGATTTTACAGATCCTGGTTTCGCCTCGGCCTTTTCGCAGATACAGTCTAACAGGGAGAAGGAAACAAAACCGGTAAGGGCGTGTCACGTCACCCTCAGAGTCACGGCAAGAGTCTGCGAGCACCCTGCGGAGCTGCGAGCGCGCCTGGAAGCGTCGTGCTGGTTTTTGGGCAGCTCACGGAGGGCTCAGAGCGGCACCCGCTCGAGCAGCCGGCGGGACTCGCCGGTGGCAGCTGTGCGGGGACCCGGAATCCAAAGGCGCTTTGCCAGTTTCAGAAAATCTCCCAAACCCAGGCTAACGGAAGACGATAACCTATTCGCTCACCTCGTGGTGGAAGCATGTGCTATGATATTTCCTCCAATGGGTTTTTTGGGGTCTGCAGCAAACATGGCTGCTCCATCCACTTGTGCTACCACCTGGTTAGTGATCACAACTGCCACGCCGAACTGCAGGGAGGGAAGCAGGGAATCAAAGTCAATTTAACTGCCACAGTCTGAACTGAGGAAAATGAGACAAGGGCAGGGGAAAAAAAAAAAACAGCAGAGGAAAAAAACGGGAAAAAAAAGGGCAAGGGCAGGGGAAAAAAAAAAAAAAGGGCAGAGGGAAAAAAAAAAAAGGGGCAAGGGAAAAAAAG